TTTCCCATTTATTTCCCAAACTTTTCCCCCAAATTCCTCCCAATTTTTCCCAAATTTTCCCCAATTTTTCCCAAATTTCCCCCAAAATTTTTCCCATGTTTTTCTGAAATCATCCCAAATTTTTCCCCAATTTTTTCCCAAATTTCCCCAAGTTTTTCCCATTTATTTCCCATTTATTTCCCAATTTTTCCCCAATTTTTTCCCTATTTTCCCTCAATTTTCCCCAAATTTTCCCCAATTTTTTCCCAAATTTATTTCTCAAATTTATTTCTCAAATTTTTCCCAATTTTTCCCCAATTTTTTTCCAATTTTTCCCCAATTTTTCCCTAAATTTTTTCCATTTTTCTCAAAATTTCCCCAATTTTTCCCCAATTTTTCCCCAATTTTCCCGCAAATTTCTCCCAATTTCCCCCCAATTTTTCCCCAATTTTTTCCCATTGTTCCCCCAAATTTTTCCCAATTTTCCCCAAATTTTCCTCAATTTTTTTGCAATTTATTCCCAAATTTTTCCCATTTATTTCTCAAATTTTTCCCACATTTTTCCCATTTATTTCCCAATTTTTCCCCAAATTTTCCCCAAATTTCCCCCCATTTTTTCCCAAATTTTCCTCAAATTTCTCCCAATTTTTCCCCAGATTTTTCCCATTTATTTCCCATTTATTCCCCCAAATTTCCCCCAAATTTCCCCCAATTTTCCCCCAATGTTTCCCCGATTTTCCCCCAATGTTTCCCCGATTTCCCCCCAATTTTTCCCCGATTTTCCCCCAATTTTCCCCAAATTTTCCCCAGTTTTTTCCCAAACTTTTCCTGACATTCCGGGTGTTTTCCTGTCCCCTCAGGGTGACGCAGTGCAAGTACAAGCGCATCGGCTGCCCCTGGCAGGGCCCTTTCCACGAGCTCTCCGTGCACGAATCCGAGTGCGCCCACCCGGCCAAAACGGGCAACGAGCTGATGGAGATCCTGGATGAGATGGACCAGACCCGCCAGAAGGAGATGCAGCTCTACAACTCCATCTTCAGCCTGCTCAGCTTCGAGAAGATCGGATACACCGGTACGGAAAACGCCGGAATTCCGCGAATTCCCAAAAATTCCGGGCGATTTGGATGGTTGGGATGGGTTTTTTGGTAGTTTTTTTGGGGGTTTTTCTTGGGTTTTTCTGAAGGTTTTCCAAAGGTTTCCAGGGTTTTCCAAAGGATTTCTGAAGGTTTTCCAGGCTTTTCCAAAGTATTCCAGGATTTTTTGAAGGTTTCCCAAAGGCTTTCCAAAGTTTCTTTGAGTTTTCTGGGGTTTTCCAAAGGTTTCTTCGGGTTTTCCAAGAATTTTCCAAAGGTTTTCTGGGGTTTCTGAAGGTTTCTTCAGCCTGCTCAGCTTGGAGAAGATCGGATACACCGGTACGGAAAACGCCGGAATTCCGCGAATTCCCAAAAATTCCGGGCGATTTGGATGGTTGGGATGGGTTTTTTTGGGATTTTTTGGTGTTTTTTAATGGTTTCTCCGGGGCTTTTTGAAGGTTTTGTGGGGTTTTCTGAAGGTTCTCCAGGTTTTTCTGAAGGTTTTCCACGGTTCTCCAAAGTTTTTTTGGGATTTTCTGAAGTTTTCCAGGGTTTTCTGAAGGTTCTCCAGGTTTTCCTGAAGGTTTTTTGGGGTTTTCCAAGAATTTTGTGGGGTTTTCCAAAGGTTTTCAAGGGTTTTCTGAAGGTTCTCCAGGGTTTTCCGAAGGTTCTCCAGGGTTTTCTGAAGGTTCTCCAGGGTTGTTTGAAGGTTTTCCATGGTTTTCCAAAGGTTTTTTGGGGTTTTCCAAAGGTTTTCCAAAGGTTTTTTGGTGTTTTCCAAAGGTTTTCCAAAGGTTTTTTGGGGTTTCTGAAGGTTTCTTCAGCCTGCTCAGCTTCGAGAAGATCGGATACACCGGGACAGAAAAC